CAACTTGAACCAGATCTAAAACGAAAGGTGGGACTTGTGTTGGTGATATTTGGTGCTCACATTTTCCTTGTTTTAAAGAAATTTATTTATTTTCGGGGGGGGGGGGGGTAGGTAAGTGATGTTGACGGAGATTTCACTGTCAATTCGATGAACGATACTTCTCTAGAGTATATGAATGATGCCAATATGTTCCGATAACTGAGATTCCCAGATAGCACATCAGCACGTGTGTCCACCGAGACTAAAAGTGAGCTGATGGAGGACTGTATCATCGAAGGGAAGTGTAGAGTCTACCTTATTTTGCATGGCTGGGATCGACAAATTTTAGATAAATTTGAGTTTGTTAATTTACAGAGTTAGAAAACAGGAAGGGGTTCAGGCGAAAGGTGGTACACATGTTAGCAAGGAGGAAGATAGCATGTCCGCACCGCCCGTCCCCCTTCGGAATGCTGCATCGCCCCTTGCTGATCTCAAGACTTTCTGGTTGCAGCAAGATACTGAAGAGGAAATTTTTGAAATTATTTAGAAGTTGCAGGATCAGGTGGAAAGCCTTCGGTAAAATTTCTCACGCATCAAACTCAAATTTAAAAAATTTGCAGTGGTCCCCCGGCAGTAGTTTACTATTTGAATGGCGGAAAATTAGCTTTGGCTTCAATTATTTAAAACGGGAACCTTTAACTAAAACCGGGTTTTCGTAAGCCCCATGTCCTCGTTAAATAACCCTACCCCTATTTTTTTACTCAATTTTTGTATTTAACGCCTTCAAATTGGTGTGGTTGCAAATATCACCGTTCCTAAACTTAATTTATAATCCTATACAAATGATAAAATACTGGATTCGAATGCAACACGCATGTCTTGAAGTCGGCGACATGTGACAGTTTAATTTCCACCTACTTCTTTCACAATACACTCAAACCCGAGTAGCAAGGAGTGGCGGCAACCAATGGTGGGGACACTATTCCACATGACTAGAATACACACCTGGTTATTTTGCAACTGCTCACAAATAACCACCCCACAGAATTTGTCTTTATATTCCCGCACGTAGAAGGGGAGAGATATACGAAGCCGCTGAAGGGCTCTAGTGCTCGTGTCATGGAAGACAAACTGTTGTCAGAAAGGGATAGAGGTTTTTGCGGGTTGCTTGTATGGTTCGCCACGAAAAGAAAGGCGTGCGGCGGTGCTCTGATATGTGACTGGACGGCGTAATATTTTACAAAAGCTTTCTAGTGAGTTACACGTTACGTCGATGGAGTAACATACCTTGTCGTCCAGGATCCGTGATGTGGAAAGGGATACGAGAAGTGTCAAAATAAATTTTTACTATCGCAACGACGAGAGATTGGATCAAATCTAAATTCTAGAGGTAGGTCGCCAGAATTACACCACCCACATGGTTTTTGTTAGCCTTTCTCCACCCCCTAAGTGTGACTGAATCGCTATAGAACCAGGTTATTTTACTCTACTTATGTCGATTAGTGTTCCCACCGTCGGTTGCCACCACTTTTTGCTACTTGGGTTTCAGTATTTTGTGAAGGAAGTAGCTGGAAAATAATTTTCTACACGTCGCCGACACAAAGACATGCGTGTTGAATTTAGATCCAGTATTTTATCATTTGTGATCGAGATTGTAAATAACTTCTGGAAACGGTAATATTCTCAACCTTACTAAACAATAGAAAATAAATCGACTTTAAAATAGTAATGCATGGGGGATGGTTGACAAAAATTTGGGGGGTGGTTATAATCTCTCTAAAAAAATGTTTTGTTTTTAATATTTGGCCTTGGTCCAACATGTAACTCGACATTGTTATTAAGTAAGAGAGATTACTAACTTACAGGATGATAAATTTTGGAGACTATGTACGGATTTTATGTATGTTACGACGATTTTGGAGGGCAGATCAGTTGACGCAAAAGTCGTTTCAGTAGCAAAGCGTGCCCCATCCGTGTCAACCGCACTGCTGGTACCACTAGCACCTTTTTATGTAAAGTGCACTGAAATGAATTGCATTACACTCTTGTCTGCTCAATTGTTGGCCTCTCTATTGCACTGACCATACCAATCTACTTAGCTCCCGGCTTCCGCAATCGGAGCAAAAAGGCCGGCTCAAGTGGCATCGTCCAATCCTTATTTTGCAGGAATCAGACTGTCTATAATAGCCACTTCTCACGAATATGATGTCTGGTTGTGTCGCAAACACCTCGTGATATCTACCATGACACAGTCTTACTACTCCTAGCTTTCTCATTCTGCTGGCTCAAGACGGCGAGCGTCACGGCGGTGCACTCGTTAGAGGCCCTTCCGTGGAGGGAAACCCTCCGTTGACCAAGTCCGAAGTTAAATTATTGTGTGCACTCTACCGGGACTGCTGTCGCGCTCGGAGCGAATTTATTTAGAGAACAGAGGACACTTGACTAGAAGTCCTGTTGCCACTGCAGCAGTCCCAGCGAGCCATTTTGACGTAATCCCTGGCCAACAAGTCGTAGTCGACTTCGTTGCTCCTCAGGTCGGCTCGGGCTCACAACGTGCTCAAATCTGCCTAACCGGACCACTGAACGAGTATTTGGCTCGATGCTACTGCACAAAAACAACCTGTACTTGTTCTCAACGAGGACCATCATAGTTTTCGATAAGTTCTCTTCGTGGGACCGGGCTCACGCTCAGCTAACGTGTCCACGAGTTGTAGGCAGACCGCAAAGAGTATAAACCTATTCGCTTTGCAAGGTGATTCAATCCATTGTCGACGTCGTGCCCTACACTAGGATAGCTTCTCTCTCGAGCTGCACGCTGCGCTGCTTCCCATAGCGCACGCAGCGAGGAGAGACCCTCCCTCCTTTTACCTTGGCACCACTGTAGAGCAGTTGCCGCCTAAAGAAAGGGGACCAGTCTCCTGGGTCCCCGGAGGGTCTAGTCTCTATCCCTTGTTGCAGCTGGCTGCCGATTAGGAAGTAACCAATCTTTGTTTTGTCGTCTGGACGATCGTCACGTCTTGCTCGAAAGCGACAAACCGACACCAGCTGTAACAGATGAGGCGTGATCAAGAAGACAGACGACAAGACCAGGATTCTACTCGCACAGCAGCCGAGCACTACATCCAACAATTGCCGTGATTATTACCTTGTGTGCTTGGCCCTTTGGCTACCTTGTTTTTCTTCGTTCACCGTTTATAGTATGCGTAAGCTTGATCCTTTATCGCTTCAATCAGTCACTTTGCGATTGTTGCCGGCTATGCCATTTGTGACAGTATATTTTCTTCGTGTCGACGTCGAAGCATCCTCGCGAGATACCGTCTGTCTTTTCCATGACGCTCTTTGAGGCCGTCCACATTGCTGGACCTGTTCCGTGAAGTATGTGAAAGTCGTTTTATGTAGCAGAAATTCCGCCGAGCGTTCCGAACAGAATGACGACGACTTCTCCGAAGGCAGTGAGTCCTTTGATGTGATCGACCACCGGACTCAACACTTGAATACCCCAAATTGTCCCGCCACTATTCTTCTAGGAGATAATCGTGTGTTGAGGTGGCACCCTTAAAGCTACCAATGTTTTCGCACACGAAGGATACCCCTGGTAAAATCGTAATTTGCGATGCATCCGTCCATTCATATTTTGTGATAACGCAGCCCATAGAGAATTGGCATTGACCGGATGATTGAGTCATTCACATAGACCAAATAGGAAAGTGAGAGGGTGGATACGCAGCTGTTGAACAAGATGAAAGTATTGCCACATCCAGATATCAAAAAAGAGTTTTCGATTCTGGTAAATGCCGTCCGACATAGTTTGTGGCGCCCCAGACGCTTGTACCGATTCCTAGCTCCGAATGCAGTAGAATAAAGTCTAGAAGTACATTGCATCTTCGACTACAGTAGAATAAAGTCTAGAAGTACATTGCATCTTCGACTACATCGCCTCTGCGTCGTTGTCCATCCAGGTATTGACACGATGCTCGACATTGTCGTTGCGGCATCGTTCTGCGACGAGTTTCAGGTGCACTAGAAGTTAAAGTATGCACGGTCGATGAGATTTAGCCGACGGAAGTAGGTGTGGAAATGACAAAGTAACGTTGCACTTCAAGACTTCATTGGGTCATCATAAGCGATTATTTTAATGGCTCGGTTGGTAACCGAAGTTCGATAAAGAGCTATCAAGCATCGGATAATTGCAGATCTAACTTCATGCACGCTCTTCCTTCGTAGTTTAAACGTATTTACGTTACAATTGCCTATTGTGGATAATATGTGGAGAGGCAACAACTACTGGACAGTACCGTTCGCTTCGACCTCACAAAACTCACAATAAGTTACAGCATGACAGCGTCGACAATCTATTGTAATTCCACAGCAATCGGAACTCATTTTGTTTGACGTCTCCTTTGGACTTGTTCAACTGATTCAGTGAGTCGCATAGGCTACCTATCTGCAATATGCACAACGCGCCGCACTGGCGTCGGATGCGCGACTCGAGGCCAACATCCACTGACCTGTCAATGTAAAAGGTGTTTGTGGGTCCTTGCTCGAGCGTTGCGTTGTGCTCTCGGTCCAAGTGCGACGTCACCTACCACTAAAACTTTCCGTGCTACACAAAGGAGCAATGATTACGAACGTGGTCAACCGTATATATTGTTCTTCAACGTATCATCTTCGAAAAATCATATTAATTGGCTAAAGTTCGCTCGAAGGCGTTGTCGAAGATGTTGCGCCCTTACTCTACTATGCTTTTCAATCAGACTGGTAAGATGTATGCAGCTTTTTTTCTTGAACTCTAGAGCAGAAGCGATGCGACACCAAGAGTCGACAGACTGTCATGAGCACCTCACCTTGTAGGATCGAGTTGCTTATAATCTTACATTTCTATCCTCGAAGCCAACGCATACCGATCTAGCCCGGTACCTAGATTGGGCGTCGTTCGGACGAAGGTTTAGCTTAATCGCACAGAATACAACCATACAAAGAGCAATTCATACGTATATTTACTTCATATATTTCTAGAAAAACTACTGTTCTTTGACCACATGCTGGAAGTCAGGCGTAACGAGAGCTTTGTCGAATACTCGCGACACGTCTTCCAGACTTCCCAGATGAAGCAGTAACGGTGTCAGCATATCTGACTGGCTCACGACACTAACTAGACGACCAAGCGTATCGTCCCACTTAAAATGTGTTGAGCTTGGCATTGTAAATGTGTGGCCGAGCAGTTTTAGTGCCAGTGCTGACATCGTGCCGTTGCTGTTGCACAGGTGAGGAAACACATTGTACAGCGTTTGCTCAGAGATAGAGACCGTGAATAGCGTGGTGGCGACAAGGAAGCCAGCGGCGTCTTTTTCCAAGCGATCAAGCTCTAGACTTACGGGCGAGAACCAAAGGGAAGTTTGTCTCCAGTCCCATAGCATCCGATCGATGTCATGCTCGGCGTTAAACGCCACGTCTTTCGCCATCGATCTTCGCAAGAAGTCCAATTGGTCGCTTGGACCAGTCTGAGACGCCTTCAGCTCCTTCTTGAAGCGCACCCCGTAGCGAAAGAGGCGAAAATACTCGGCCGCGAAGCTCCAGGCGTTCATTTTGGTCACCATGGTGTCGGATTTGGAGCGGCGGTACTGCTCACAGTCTTCGATAGTGCGGCGTAGCTTTCGCGTCTGCTCTTCTAGATTCAGGATGTACTGCTCTTTTTTCTTCCTGTATCGAATCTGCCTTGTGCGACGGAGCTCGCGTAGTCGCTGCTTCTCGGGAAGAAGAAAAACGGCACTGGTGGTCGCAACACCCGAGTCCTTCACCGGTCGACGGGCAGTACATGATGTTTGACTCGATGGACCACCTGCTGGACGTATGTCACGCTTCCCCTCTGAGATGTTGGGGAAATAGAACGACGTCTTCTCATCGTACGTAGCAAACGGAATAGTAGGGGCATCGTAGTAACGTGCGTCCGTTTCCATTTCACGACCACTGTGGCTGAAGAAGGGCGATCCCTCGGACGGGTTGGTACGCTGGACGATACCGCGCAACTCGTCGTTGCGTAGAAATTTGCACTGTGAAGATTGATGGACACAGTCGTTCATTGGTAAAAGGCGTGGAGGGACTTCCATCGCCTTAAGTCAGGCGCGAGACACTTGGAAATGACACGATCGCGCGTAGTCACTTTGTGACAGAGCTCGTAACGAAGTGAGATTGTCGATCTGTCTGGCATTGATTATGAAGACCGAGATGGGGGATCAAGTAATGCGATAGTCAAGTTGATGGAAAGGACAACTTCATTGCGACGTTGTTGTCGACTGACCTGACGCTATGTTACCCCTGCGCCCCTTCTACTCAAAGCTCAAGAATCCTGTCCAACGCTACCGCCGTCGCAAGATAGCCAGCTGATCCAGAAAAACCCGATGAATTACATCCAGGTGCGCTCGGTCGGTTCGGATGCACGTAATCCGTTTTCGACCGTCGACACGGGGTACTGCAATACATAGTCCGAACACGCACACAACCATCGTCACCTGACTCGACACCGAGGCATGAGGATTCTGTCTGTCTAGTGCGGTCCAACACACATGGCTGATGCGTCTCGGTGTTGTAATCGTTATCCTTCTAAGGCGGCTGGCCTTGTCACAGACTCAGTGATTTGAAAATATTTGATATTATTTTTTGAGTTCGTACAGAGAGGCCAGGCACCGCACGTCCGAATCACTTCACATTGACGACAAACATTGAATAATCATCATCGACTGGCCAGCAAAAGTCTTTACATGTACGCGGATTCTACTGCCTACTGGGCACACGTTTGATACTCCAATGGTGATCTTACGGCTTTTTATACCCGCTTTCACGGTTGTGACAATCGGGTATGTCACACCATGGGCCTGGGCGTTCCATAGCATATAATGCAGCTAGATAACAACAACCCTGTCGTTAGTCGCGACATCACAGCATTAGAGGCAGCTCGGCATTCGAACTATGAAGTGGCTCGTAGAAAAATTACGGCATAAGCCAAGTGAAGTTCAACGAAGCCAGCATGACTCGTGCTACGCATTGATGGGGGGTCGTAGTTTAAGTACAAGTGACTCCTTTGTGCCAACTCATTGCATAACTCTTCATCGACATGATGTGTACGCATGGATGGACTAGGCGTCCTCTATCAAGCCCGATAATCAAGACACGCTAGGCAGTCTGTCTTTACTTAAACGTAGCTCCTGGAGGCCCTTTTCTTGTTTCTGACGTACGGACGAGCCAACGCCAAAACCAAATTTCTGGCGAAGAAGACCAAGTTGTGTCGACGCCCGATACGTCGTACGACGGAACGCTACAATTCTTTCCGCGCCATGCTAAGTTCGCTAATGTCATCCACCATCAACTTGTGTGCACGTTCAATTTGGTCGTCTTCACGTAATGTTAACTCTTTTTGACGAAGCTGTTTAGCACATACTGCGTGCAAATGAGTCGCATCAATCCGATTGCCCTTGTTCTGGCCATCGATACTGCAACTGTATGAGCACAGTAAGCGGTACTACATGTGCCCACGATAATAATCCATTAGATGGATGTAGTTTCTTCTCACCATATCACATTTCTTCTTTACCTGGGCGCGACTTTGTAGAGCAACACCAGCCCCTTCAGTCTCACAATCCAATCTCCTGGATCTAAAACTTTCCACAAATTGTCATGGCTGTCCTCGTCACGCGACGGATTCTTTTTCCGTCGCGTGACGAGGACAGCCATGACAATTTGACAAGAGAGCTAGCTCAGTGATGGTTTCACAACTGAAGGTGTTTTCAAATTTTACGATGTGAAAAAGTGGATGGCAATTGTTGTGAGTTTTAGCCGATCGACGAGCATATCTAAGCGTTTGGACTTTACATAACGTCTGCATATAGTGTAGAAAACAACCTTGGTCGATTAACCTTGAGTAGTGATCCCGAAGTCAAACGTGCTAAATTGCACAGGCTAAGAGTTGGTGTGACATGGAGTTACTCATAGTTTTGATAAATAATTTGAAAGACAATTCAGTTTATTAAGTATAAAGTCGCATCTAAAAGCACAATAATCTCCAAATCTACTGCATCGATCACATACTGACATAACCACAGTCAATACAGTTCAGTCAGTCAGTGTCAGTCAGTCCATCGATAAATGTCTAAACGTGTCATTCTTCTTTTTATAGTTATACGAAAAAAGAGCGTCCGTAGGCAGTGCCAATCGACTCTGTCAGTCTCGTACGAGAAAGCAAGCACATTCTCATCGTAAAATATAGGAATAACATGAAGCGGGACCAATTTAAAGCTTATCGCATTCGACCCTCCGGCATACATTCTCCCTTGACTTCTAGAGCACCTAAAGCACTATTGAAAACACATAAAGTCTTTCACGGTTGTGAAGTTGGAATATAATGCGGGCATCAAGCCTAAATACAATCTTGAGAAAGATCTGTGTGGTTCAACATCAAATGTGGTCTTCACAAGTTGACAAGCGTGTATTCTACCAATTGTTTTTCTAAATGAAGAAATTTCTGGTGCGAAAATTGCGTTATACTGGTGACGTCACAGCGTTTGGATACTGAGAGTCACAATCTGATTTAGCGTACGAGCGTATTCAACTATGATGTCCACCTGTCGTCAAAAAGTTGAACCTGCGACCAGATGTAGTCAGTCATGATGGGTAAAATGTCGACAATACCATAGCCGGATAGTCACAATTTGAGCCCGTGGAATCGTCTAAACTTCACAACGTTAAATCGTCGGTTTCTCGTCCCCATTCAACAAATGATGCCCGACACATCCCTCCTACTCGCTTAACGCAAGTCATAAATAACTGAAGTGTAGACTATCCCAACGTTTTCGATCCATCAAAATTTGGACGAATATGCGTCAACAGTAAGTAACAATGCTGAGTCGACACAAGTATGGATAGCACTATCCTCTGTTTGTGGCTAACTTCGTCCGGGCATCTCTCAGACGGGTAGCATCGACAACATCTTGATCGAAAATCCGATTTGTACCATCCGTTTGAAACATAGAGCGCATGAGTGCCCAAGCTTTGAGTGCTCACGCGATTCACGATCATGCGAGACCACTCTCAGGATTTTCTCCGACCCGAAAAAACTACGTAACAAGCTCTGTACGATGTGGCATGGGCACCTCTCTGAACAACGGAACGTCGTCCCATTCAGAATTTGGAAGTCGAGACAGCACATCCAAATCGCTCAGTCGTCAGCAATGGACACTTGTATTCTGTATCAGGCGACTATTCGAGTCCTTGGAGAGACACCCATTGCAAGCGTAGATCAGCGCGAAAGCTTTCGCGGTGACGTTGCCAAGTCACCTCATGAATTTACCAACTCTCGTGATCTCCGATGTCCGAGTAGTGCTATGGTAAAACAGCCAGATGCACTACTGGGTCAACAACGTTTTCTCAACGAAGCTTGGCATGATAAAGCCCAAACGCCTACAAACCACGACTCAACCTCATGTCTGGACAGGATGAAGCAAAGTCGATACCAAACGAGCAGCACTGTCACCTCCGAGTCGCTACTTTTTGATGCCAGATGTGGCAATGCTACTGAAGCTGACGATCATCTGGCGCGGAGTGCGTTGTACCAAGTGTCCATGCAGGATTGGTTTATCAACCACGAGAAGCAACAACGTGAGGTCCGTCGGAACCGCCAGATTAAGTACCGACAGAAGCAACAGGTCAACATGGTTGCCCTGGAAGAAAGCATTCGTCAAACAAAGCATGACATTGCCAAGCTTGATCAACGACGTCGGGCGTTCGCCACAGCTGTACCGACGGATCTGACACTTTGGAATGTGGCAGTGGACTACTTTCGTTTGTTTAGCTTTGGGCTACAAGATCTTGAAAGAACAGAGAGATTGTCATCTTCACCTGTGAGCACACCCAGCGTCCAGCTCGACTTTCTGCGCTCAACAATGGCACCAGGGGTTATGTACAACGATGCATGCGGCGTCGGGGCGATCATGAGGAGCTGGAAACTTTTTTCGTTCCGGTTTCAAGACGCTGAGGTTGAGCTGACCGGCTTGCAGAAAAGTGGCATGGAATTGCTAATTGCCGACACTACAACGACGTTCTGTATCACCTCGCAGACGCTCATCCGTGTTTTTCCACATTTGTGCAGCAAAGATGCAGGTCGCGCTAACTGTCGACTCGCTGACAAACTTTTGGGCCAAGAAATTATCATGCGAGGCTCGACAAGATTCGAGTGGGATATTGGATACGGCCATGTGACTAGCATGACCAGCGAATACGACTTGCTCACGCCAATGCTTGAGCTGCTAGGCACTTTGGAAGACGCGATGCTGGTGTGTGCGGACGTGTCCAGTATCCTTATATGAGGATACAGACCAGTCGTCGATATGATAAAGAATATTTGCAGCACGACACGGGTCCAAGTAACAAGTCTTATGTGAGTCTGTTTGCACCTTCATAATAATGCAATTGATATACATCTGACTGGCATTCCTTCATGGTATTTCTTTGAATTATGAAACTTTAGGCTGTTAGAACCGACAGATGGACAAGTGCTTCTTCCAGCAATGTAAAAGTGTGGCATGCGTCTTTCAAGCCTTTTCTTTTTGTAAGAGTTGTAATTTTCGTGATTTATGTAGAAGCCACGCCGCTTTACAGCCATTGCACAAAAACAAAATATTGTATCAAATAAGGCGAAAAAAACCAACATAAGAAAATTTTAAATAAACCAGAGGCGAAAAAAATCTTTATAGATAAAAACAAAAAGCCCCACGTGATAACGAAAACCAGTGACCCGAATAATGAGAAAAATTTAAAATGCCCCAATTAATTGGAAAATAAAATATGCCCCATGTCCTAGTATACTGATTTTAACGTGGTACACATTTCCCGACACTATGCTTCGATGAAAATCTCTACCTAAGGTACACACCATTCACACGCATGTGACAATACTTTTAACCCTATATAATAGATAAGACCTTGATTGCGGTCACTGGGATATACACCGTGGCAGAGTGGAATTTCGCTAAGCACGCGAACGCTACATTACACCATTAACTATTTGCAACGTGCAAAAGGGAGCAAACAAGGTGCCGGAGAGAAAAATGATGTCAAATCTAGCGGGTGTGTAGGTCCTTAATCACTCAAAAATGGCACTTAATCCTACCAATTTGGTATACAAATATGCGTTTAGAGGGGTTTGTATCACATCGTTAGTAAACCAGATTTTATCGTTTAAGGGCGGCATACCAAGTGCTGTCGGATACGGTTCGACAAATTGTTGTTAAATTCCGTACTGTACGTTTCAATACAAACTGAATCAATTTCTAAATTTTTTTTTACATATATGCTAGAGTGTGTTAACAGGTCGACCAAATTGAAATTCTTTGTGTGTTGTCATTACCATACAAACTCTGCTACTTAGGTTGCTGTCCCTACAGTGAAATCTTAACAGTAACATTTAATACATGCGGCAGCACTAATATGTCGCCATCAGCGCTGGCAAAGCCTTTTTAATTTGTTTAAAAAAGGAGTCAAATAGCTAGAGTATGTTCATGATAGCCTATTGAATAATTAAAAAATCTGAAGTTGCTATAGCGTAAGAGCTCGAAAAAGGGGATTCGCATATCCTAACTAAACAAATACAACAGCAGCAATGTAATACAAATAGCACCACGGAGCAGTCGTAAGACCAAAAACTCTTTTAACAGTAGCAATTTCAACGACATCAGCAGCAACAACACCAACTTTGGCACCAAAAGCATCAAAATTAACAGGAACAACATAAATTACTGAATACGTTTATGCCTATAGCAGTAGCAAAAACTCGACACCAGCAAAACAGCACTAGCAATAAGATAGCAGCAGCAACAACAATATCACTAATATAATTTTAGAACAAGAATAGTAAAAAACAAAATAAAAAATTAGAACAAATAAAAACAATAACAAACGATTGCAAAAACAATACCATCAATACCAACATTGTCAGCACCAATCGTCGTCATGCACGGCCGCGGCCAACAATAAAAAATGTACTCACGTCTATTTTGTGACGCCTGCGCCCGCAAATGGTAATTGTGGGCGCAGCATTTTGCGGGAGAATTCCCAGCACGGCTCCGCTTGCAGGGCGAGTTGAGCACGGCCATATAGAAGATCCTTAGACATAATTTAGGATTCTGATATATATATTACGTAAACTTTAGTGTGCGAGGACGTGGGGTTTAAATTTTTATTTGCTCCTTTATACTAGATAGAAAGAAATAACCAAGGAACATCCTCTACAAATTATAAATAACGGTTTAATCACCTTCCTTGCATCCGTGCCCGTCATTATGAAGGGCCTAAATTCTCCAAACAGCAGATTCAGTACTAACATTGTCATGTATGGACCAAGAAGATGGTATCCCGATTTTGTGCAGCATTGACTTTACAGCCGCTTGTCGTCCGAAACGTAGCCATTTCTACGCGCTTTGATGACGTTGTCAAGACAATGTGTTGGAAGGTATATCACGTATGTTAACCCGCTTTCCACAGCTCGAGGTAATTTTGCGGAAAAGCACGTCAGGATGTGTAGGTGAGACCAAGTTCTGATGTTGGCAGAAAGATGGTTGCTCCGTATACATATTCATATATCAAATCCTTCCAGCTTTAAATCTTATACCCACACAACGGAAGTGGCATTTATATCATGTGGTTGATGCGACAAAGAACCGAGTGGACGTCAAAGGATAACGAGTGAAGAAGCCGTTACAAATTCGACTAAAATTGAATATATCGAAAAGTTAAAGAATCCAAGAGTTGTAGAAGAACTTTGTAATTAGTTGGTCATTTTTTCGATTCTGCATCACCACAATCAAGAACAAAGGTTACCTACTTATAAAGTGCTAGCACTTTATGAGTAATAAACCTTAGACACACGTGATGCATATTTTTGACACTCTGCGTCACCAAGGGCATGAACCTCACAAATCTCGCGTTTATGTGTGTAAGACGCAGAGGTAAAACCCTTTCTACATGATCCGCAAGCTGATCACTAGTGTTACATTCTTACGTACAATGTACCTGTTTTTAACGTGATCGAAAACGAAGTGACCTCAATGTTCAATGCATTTTGCGAGTGACGTCTTTTTTATGCCATGCTAATTAAAAATTTGTTAAGTTTTAGGATACGAGAGGCATCGAACGACTTGGCTGTAGTCTCTTTAAAAAGATGTTGCAGTCACTTTGTGCTGTGTATCATTAGGGCTAACGTTACAAAATATTCGGCTATGGAAGATACAAAACAACCATCTCTTTAGACGCTGGTAGTTAAGAAATACCCATCATCTCAAGTGCCACAATAATTGCACATTGCTAGTCTAAGAGGCACGCAGAAGTGCTAAGGCTTTTAGAACGTTAATTGTTTTGATTAATTCACTTATCAGCAAGAGCACGGTTTCATTACGAAGTATGCTTTTGGAATAGCAAGCACAAGTCAAGCACGGCCGAGATCTCAGCGCAACGAGAGGTTGACCTTCCGGGTGGTGGATAAAGGCGGCGAGATGAAGCCCATATATATCACCGCCCGGATCGTATCATGGTGGCAACAAAACATAAAAACAATTAGGCATCGATGGTTTGCTGGGGAAGCGAGGTATAAGGGACGTTTTATTGAGCACTGGTCTGCAACAGGCGAGCAGTAAAACATTAACGCAGTGAGTATTTAGGGGTTGATCGATGCGTGATACTCAGCAATGAGGCATTCGATTTCCTAGGCAAGGATATGTAGACGCTTACCAACTTTTTCATTAAAAAAAAGCTGAGTTGGAGTTGCAGCGTTAAATAAATAATCATCTCTCGGACTTTGGGGCTCTATTTCCCGAGTAGATACTAATAGACCTCAAGGGAGACGATATTTAAGATCGACTCATGAAGTAATTCGTTCGTTTTAACAAGACATTAAGAGACTGTGGGCTTTAAAAAGCAATAGAACATGCTATGTCCAAAGATTTATAATGCTATAGTGCAGGCGAAGAACCGGACAAGTTTCTAATTTCCAACTTCGTGACTAAAATACTGAAAAGTGAGATCGAGCACTGGTTGCCCTTCAGTATCACAAAGAAAATACGGATGAAGAAGATTTGTATAATCTTAATGTTGAACGTGCTTGTGCGCAACGGCCCTGAGGCCTCATGAAGTTAGAATAAACGCTAAAGTAGGCTATAACAAGCAAGGCACATTTCGGTCCCAATTCTTTTTTATGTCAAGATTTTATTGAACAGAGATAGCACATTTAACCGCCACGGTAGAGCCCATCAAAACAGCAGCTTTCACGCCACCCCGATATGACCGTATGGTGAGTAAAGGTCTTAAGTGGGTCTTGGGTGTCCAACATCGTCCTACGCACAGAAGAATGAAGCCAGACGAGCCATGCAAGAGCGCATGGAACAGCTAAGCGTGTCATACTCTCTTCAAACCAGACTGAAAACTCACAGATGTTCTAGCAAGTAATAAAGAGGCCCTCTGTGCGCTGAATCGGGTCGATGTTTTCGTCCTTCCGCGCGGTCTTTTAATTGGCCTCCCACCTAACACGCACGAGATCACCACCCTCCGTCACCCTGTTATTGTGTAGTTAGTTGGTAGTGCCAGGTTCCCCTTCCGCGAGCGAGTAACATGTGACATCCAGGTACGTACTGCTGCAGGAACCCTCAACAGGAAAAGTTTTGACTGTCTTACCCTTGGACTTCGACGACAACAAGATTTTTTGGCAAATAAAATTTCTGCAGTCTTGGAATCGACGTTGGAGCTACGACAGCCAATCTAGCAGGGAGATCTACCGCCGATATCGAAAATGATGACATCTCCACAAATGTTGATGCTGACGCTATTGTCATTGTGGATGTGAAAATTTAATACCTCCTGTCCTGTCGTCACCCAAGTACGCAGCAGTGTTGAAGGAGAATAAAGATGGCGGCCTTGTGCATGAACTATGTGTAGTCGCTGTACAAATCAAAAACATTTGGCCAACCATCTAGGCTACAACCCACCTGCAACGGTTGATACTCTACAGGTGAAGTTTCAGGTTGAAGCCAAGCCTTTAACTTTCAAGAACAGGCTCTTTCTAACGCATCAAAGTGATTGTCTGCGTTCTTACTTCGCCGTTTTATAGCGGCTGTGCCTCGTTGGCCGCAATAATTACAGTCGCTGGTCATTACCTGCTTTACCGGTTTGCAAGGGCTTTAACACAAATGCATGTCGCACCACGATGGGTTCAACTTAACTTAAACGAACCGCCTTGCAATCCTTCTAGCTGGAGACACGCCAGATAAGAAGAAAGATGCATTGTGCGTATCTAGAGCTACGTATTATGCTTGTTTTGACC